CACACCCATCCCATAGCACCCATGTGCAGAGCTGATCAATATAATATGCTAATCCTCTAAAAATTAAAAAAATTAAAACTTTAAATTCTTAAATTGCAAAAAGAAAGAAACTTGACTCAGTGCCCAAACCCACCATATCACCCTGTCCCTTGTCAAAGAATGATTTCACAGTTCAACGTTCCCATTATACGGCCGCTTTTAAGGACAAGTGGGCTAAACCAGATTTCAGGGGTTTCCAGAAATCTTGACCTACACCAAAAGTGGGCATTGCCCTACCTATAGGAGAAGTTTGGTTTCATTGGTGTGTATATATTTGTTTAGTTATAGAGAAAACTTCCTTGTCTTTTAAAGAAACTGAACAAGGGGCAAAAACTTTACCTTTGATTTTCTCAAAACCGCATTTTTCGGGATAGCTCTATTGTGCTTAAAATGACCATATTTGAACAGAAAATTTTCAGACAGTGAACTCCTGCAGACAGTGAACTCCTGCAGACAGTGAACTCCTGCAGACTGCTGAATGTTGCAAACCAATACAATAAAATGTTTCTGTTCACCACACAGAGAAACTATACAGAGGAAGTAAAGCAATCAATTAGAACAGCAATATACAAAATATAATTGATCCAAAATGTCTGGCAGGCATACAGGTGTGCGGAGACTGCAGTATGTATATATGTACATTATGGTTTATCAAAACTTGGTTCATCCAAGTAAAGCTGTCAGGAAAACTATCAGAGCCGCGCACTTTCGAGAAAAAACTACCAGAGCCGCCCACTTTCGAGAAAAAACTATCAGAGCCGCGCACATTCAGAGCCACGCAGTTTCGAGAAAAAACTATCAGAGCCGCGCACTTTTTGACCATATGGATAGAATTAGATTGCCGATTCCACCCAGCTGTTACAGTTCCCTTGACAAAATTACTCTGTACAGCCCCCATTCTAAAATATTCATCTTTCTGCAGATGTTAATCACCTTCCAGACCATTTGTAAGCTGAAACTAAAACCACAAACCAAACAGAAAGGCACTACCAACAACGTCTAACAGACATCTGGCTACCAACAACGTCTAACAGACATCTGGCTACCAACAACGTCTAACAGACATCTGGCTACCAACAACGTCGAACAGACATCTGGCTACCAACAACGTCGAACAGACATCTGGCTACCAACAACGTCGAAGTCTAACAGACATCTGGTCGGTCCCAAGCCCTGTAAAACACAGAGAGTACTTAAATTGTTGTACGGTTTTGGTCATCGCAAATCTAATTGTATCGATATCGTAGAAAAGTGTGCGGCTCTGATGTTCTCCCAGCAGTCAACAAGATACACACAAACATCTCTTAATTCTTTAACCCTTTGAGCTCTGACCTCCTGTGGTTCTTGTGGCCTAGAGGTTTAAGGTGTTCGCCTCCCATTCAAAGGTGCTG